CAAGCAAGCAAGCAATAAACCAATCGGTCAACTTACCAGTTATGAACTGTGTAACGTACGCACATTGGTTCCAGTTCCAATCCCCGAAAAGTGGGATAGTGTGGGACACAGCCAATCCTTAGAAACGATGGCACGTTTAGTTAGCCTAGGAAGGCGATACCCTTGATGAGGATACGCCATGGGCTGCGCGATTAAGCCATTTCTGCATGTCATTAACCGTTAGGGAGTTAAGGCCTGGGGTCTCCATCCAGGGAGCAGCAGTTGTCGTCGCGCCTCCGTTTACTGGTTGTATTTTCATACTTCTTGGCAGGTGATATACTGTCTAACTCGCGGTGCCTTCTACTTAGCACAGAGCTGTAAGAAAAGTGCTCTGCGAGGCATACGGGGAGATTAGGTATGTGGAGTGCATATCCTACCTATGCAACGTGAGAAATTCCCCTATCGAGAGGGGTTCCTTCACCCTAGGACCATTTGGCATACCTTAGCATTACTAATCTTATTTTCCCACCAGACCCGGCCAGACACCGATGGCCAAACGACTTAGTCATCCATGTGTCATCTGAGCGTAAAGGCCACATCTCTAATTCGAAAGCAGTATGGATCACATTGAAGCAGTGTGTGTGTGTGGACGTCTTGTCGGCGCCATAGGTATTGAAGGTTCGAAAAGCTGGTTGCTACTTGTCTTCTTTCGACCAGTTGATCGAACCAGCTGAAACAGAGCGCGGCTGTTGCCTGCAGCGAAAGCATTCTCCCTATCTCAGGCCTTCAAACAACAGTGTTCGCCGTCATTCTTCAAGCTTCTAGTGGTCTATAGATTTGCTTGCACCATCACAGTCGCTAGTTTCTATTATGGTCCTGCTGATCTAGACAATATCGAGTGTTCATTAAGTGGCCTGGACAAACAGTTCTGAAAGCTGAGAGCATATCTTCTTTAACGAAAGACGAAGTGATATCCGGACTCGCAGCAGTGGCCTGAACAGTGTCAAGTCACATATCCAGAAGAAACTGTGACTGATTGCCACATGGTCCAAATGAGCCCATGAATGTCTTGCGCTTGGTGGCCTTCAAGTAATTTGATGCGAGTGTTTGTGTAGAAAATTCGTACTAGCCAGGAAAAAAAAATACTGATCAGCACACATCTGAAGCAGTCACTCTTCATTATCCGTACGTTGAGTATCTACTCTAAATATGCCGCCTGACTGTGCTTCTTCAGGACTTGGTCGTCCAACTTGGGCGTGTACACCATCCGCCAAGATTACTACATCCGTTCTCATTAGTGACTGACAGATTTTAACAAACCCGTCGTTCTTAATCTTAAAACTGGGCTCATTTGGAATGTACGATGAGACGACAAATAAACTCGGCTTACCTCAGCAAAATGCATTGAACTTAATTGAACCGGACAACCGAACAGCGAAAAGGCGACTGTTTACTGGGATCCATTCTTTTAAGGCTTTTTCAGTCTTTGGGTTGAGTGCAAATCCCACAACGCTATCACCACCAGCCATTGCTTCAGCATCCCCAAATATCTGAAGAATGAAATGTGAAACGCCTGGGTTCCTCTTAAGCGGCTTGACGTTCACGACCAAACTGAGGTTTTGTGTGCACATTACGGAGAAAACACACATTGACAGTTAGGAAAAGCAAAGTTTCAATAAGAGATGTCCGTTTCCGATTCAACATGTGGTGTGGACATTGAAGGATGCAACATGTATCACATCTTTAGAGTTTGGAAAGTGATTGTTTTCGCTTTTTGGCGATGGTCTGGTCACGGAACAATGTCTAGGGGAATAGCAGATGGGCTAAACACACTGCATTAGTCGATGGGTGTCATGGGTGAATGGAGGAAGCAAGGTGAGTGAAGAGCTGCAAGGAAAACTAATACTTTCCGGTTTCCAAACTGGAGGAAGTTTAGATGAAATACCTTACTTCAGGCTGTTGAATGAATGTAAAATTTTTAGGGCCCTGCCCCTAGCCTCTTACCCAAAAGTCTGAAGCACGAGGCAGCGGTTTTTGGAATTGTTGGTACACTTCCAGGAACCGCGTTTGGTGAGAAATGACAGAAGCTTTGAAAAATTGAGTCATCAAAATTCACCAAGAGAAGATGGACGAATGAATTGCAGGTATTTGTGAGAGGCACTCAACAGCTTACAGCCAGTTCCTTCCTTTGGTGTCAAACTCGCATTTTAACTGATTTATAAGACAACAATTAGTGTAACTTGGATCGTAGTTTGAGAAGGATTTCAGGCAAATTTCTAAGAGAAAGCAGCACAACGAATGATGGCCTCTAAACTAGCTTATTTATCTAGATTTCTTGAGGCCTTGGAGGTCTCAAGACCACGGAAATCCTCGTGAACGCAAATTGGTCTAATGCAACCTGTGATGGATTGCAAACGAATGCAAGAACAGCAATCTGTGGAAGAATTGAGAGAACCAGCTAAACATATTATTTATTGAGTATTTTGCTATGTTCCGTCATCTGGAAATGTTTGAATTTGTCGTGGAAAAACAGAGAAAAAACGTGTTGCGGAGCGTTTTGATTTAAAATATTCGGGATAGGTGTTTAAAAATCTACCCTGCTGATTGTCCCTCAAGCTGCACCACATGTGCTGGACATGTGCACCTTGTCGAAATTTGAATACTTTGTGCACATTTCACATGTGCCTACTCCTCAGCAATCAAGGTTACCCAATCGGTTGTTTATCGGCTCGAAGTAATGATATTGAGCGTGACCGTTAGTTTGAATTTACGCAACCAGTTGCTCTGGCAACTCGGTTGTCAACTCTTTAAAGGAAATAAAAATTCCTTCATAAATTCAGTCTTTACATACATTCATTTACAGTTTGAAGACTGTAATACTAGTGGTGGATGCAATACCACTCCTAGGTTTTTTCCACTACGGTCTTTCCCAAACTAAGCATGACGAAAGATCGTTGAGCTTGTTCACATTGGGATACTCAAGACCTTGGGTTCCATTTTTTGTTTTCTGTTTTTCCAGCGATGCTTAAACTAGATGCTGTAGATTTCAGAAGCTCTCCACCGTTTTGTTCTTCCCAGGCCAGAGTGAAGTGTGCAGTCAAGAGAGGTGGAAAAAATTCAACTGTCATACAACTTGTGTTTCTGCTTCCAGTTCTCAGGTCTAATGCAGACAGCGATTAGAGTTAATGAGAGGACAGCTAATGATAAACGTGGAACAGGTGATTTCAAACGATGACACACATTTATTACTCTGTTAGGTTGGGGTGAGTTGCCATGGTAACATGATCCAAGCGGTAGCCAATAGAGAGAAATTGATTTTTATATTTTCCGAATCGTACAGGATCCAGCCAGTCCACAAGGAGGCATTCAGTATTGATAGAGTGGATTGGTGGTGCGCTTGATTCTGAGTGGCACTTAGTCAGCTGATCGGCTCGCACAAAGGATGACGACATACCAAACCATATCGGTAGTGGGAATAGCAACACGGTTGTTGGTAGGAGTGAAAAAGTAAGGAAATAATGAGAAAGCCTGTTATAACAAATTTTTTGTGGTATTACTTAAATGTCCCTCTGCTTTCACAACACACGTAGCATTATTCATATTAGGTGGAGCCTTATTGGAATCACAATATACTGAAACGCTGAAATGATTATACCAAGATGAGAGGAAGATTGGTTAATTGTTGAGAAATGTTTTGTGGAGACTCAACAATCATTTTGTAACAGAATGACTTTAGATAAAGGCTTGTTTTGACATTATACCTCACGTACATTCTAGAACTAATATCCGTACCAGAATCTTCTACAACTTTATAACCACTGGACACTCCTGTCAGCTCTACGCTGAAGTTACGTCAATTAAACAAAGGCCTATAAAAACCATTCAACTCGACGAATACATCCTTGCGTTTCCTGTGAGATGTGGGAGATTGCTGTTAGTCGATATTTCCTCAATCTGTTGTAATACAGAGAAGTCAAAACAGACGGTCTGCTAAGCTTCGTGCATATTTTCATGATGGATCTGGCTGGACTGCCACAATGATCTTTTGTTATTCTTTCCAGTGAATCTATTACTACAGTCTTATTTACCCTGGCCCAAGTGAAATTAAAGACAAAGTAGGACGTACAATAATCACAGATTGACTTGGAATCTTGGAAGTCAATAGACTGGCTCATAAAAACACTTGAATGACTTCAGCATATTTTAAATCAATACTCTCAAAATTACGGAGAACTCTGGGAGCCTTCAACCAGGTTTCGCCTTCTTTGAGCTTATCTGGTAGGCAGAGTCTACGAGTTCCCCAAACTTAAGTTCTATTGAACCCATTTTGAACTCAGCGCACCAAATTTTTCATGTTCGTTCAGTTGAATCAAAATAATGAATTCTGCCAGGATCCAGATGAAGTTCTCGTTAAAACCAGTGTGGTGTGCAGATGAGTGTATTTTCTGGGCTATATCGTTTGATTTCGTTTGTTTCACAGTGCACAACGTGCTTGGGGAGACAGCCCCGCGCGAGTAGATTTGGAAACGTCTTTTAATAATATTTTCAGAATCTGAGGCTCAACGTTTTGATATATGCAGACTGATAATTAGTTATATGCAAACTAAGATTAGCTGATCCGGCTCACACAATTTGTCCTTCGGATTTTGAGGCCAACTTGAAGGTTAAAATGGACAAATCGTTGTTGAGCAATCTTCTTTTTGTTCTTCTGGATAGGTGATGAATACGCAAGTAGTGAGGTTGCGTAAGTTCATACTCTTTGGTGAGTTGCAGCACGGGCATCAAAAGGAGAGACTTNTTTGGTGAGTTGCAGCACGGGCATCAAAAAGAGAGACGTGAGTGCAGTTCACTCATCCAGACAAGCCAAGATAAGAGTGCTATTACACCCAGAAAAATTGTGCACAAGGTGGTCGCATGCAACAAACAATCTACTGAGCCAAAATGAACTTTAATGTCAGTGATAAATTGCATTGCAGCAGAATAAGAACTGGTTGCGTTACCGTGAGTGGAGTGGCCCTTTTTGACAAAATATCTATTAATCAATGATGGACAAGTTTAACCAGCTTTCTGTCTCGCGGTTCCAATTTATCAGATAAAAGCAAAGAAATTTCAAGGTGCAACCCTCAAATGAATTCAGAGTAACTGTACTTTGCATACATTACATGTTCTGATACTGCGGAAATTTTGTAAAATAACCCCATTTTGCACTCTAAACTTTCAGCAACTCACTGCTTTAATGACATTAAGTGCCACTTTCCACAAAGCCGTCAACCACAAACAAAGTTTTCTCCCAGGAGACCAGTGGCCAGTTCCAAAGTATGTTCTGCGCACTGCGGATATGTGGCACATTTTTCTGTGATAACATTATCTACTGTTATTATTGTTAACTCTAATAAATAGGTAGTACTCAAAAATTCAGGCACCGATACTGGAAATGAGCTGATCAATGAATCCATGCCTCTGAGGTTGAAGGTGCTCACCAATAAGTTTAGTACCACTAGGCCTGTAATGAGGAACTGTAGGCTAGTAAGTCATACAAATGTTACTTACGTTCTTTAGGTAGATGTACTCCATCACCCATATCGCACAAGAAGCTTGGTGCCGTATAAGCCTACGTAAAAACATTTACTTAACCATCATTAACTCTGTGTAGAATAATCCGGGTTACAAAACATTAGCGCACATTTCTTTTTAATCTTCTTTGTGTGGAATAACGTAGAAATTGAAAAAAAAAACATTTAGAATAATCCTTGGTTACACTGTTCACTAACTCAAGGGACTTCCAGAAATAAATCTGTGGAAAGTCAGGTGGCATAAAGCCATCAGTCAGGAAATGGGTTTTACCGTTCACCCGTACCTTCCGTCGTTATAAGGCACATACGATATACCTCCACTTGATTTACTTATACATGGCTATTTTCTCATTGTGTCTGCAGAGATTTAGACCTTCGAAATGTATTACTACCAAAAGCCAAGCGGGAAATTACTTTTAATGTGCAGATGCAGTTCAATTTCAAAACCTAATTTAATTCCGTGGAGTAGAATGAATAAGATTTTTCTACAATAGCCGTCTAATTCAGATGTTGCATTCAGTGAGAGACTGTGTTCCAGAAAGCCAGAAAAACATACACTATCACTTGAGGTCGTACACAAACATGCCACAATACTACTAATCTGGAAGCAGCAATGTAGCTAAATAAAGCATTTGTCATTAGTCGACCAAACTGGAGAAGAGAGTAACATGCACACCCTTCCGATAGGAACTGCATTCGAGTGTTCTCAACTTATCCACTGTGTAGCCCGACAACAGCGTCGAGTTTGATATTTCGCACTCCGCTCCTCAAATTCTGTCAACATCAAACGGGAAATAAACAGGTCTGCTGCATCGCACTGATTTCTGCTAATGCGTTTGTCAGTCTAAACCAAATTTTGCCTGTGCCTTTTACTGAAATATATAGCGCATCACGGCTAGTAATAATCGATTTTGATTAGAAAACCTCAAACTACAAAAATCGCCCGGTCTGAATGTGTCCTACGCTTTTAGGAGAGT